TCAGGTATCAGTATCAAAATGTTTTCTTTCATTAATTAACACATGCGATAATTATAGTTGAAGAATAATCCAATATATATTGCAATACCAATGCCAACGATTATCTTCCAAATGCCATCTATTAGAATGATACTTGCGCATGAATTTGGCAATGAACATCGTAGTGGTTCAAACAACAGATGCATTCATTGTGCTCATCTGCAATGCAAAGAAGGTGAAGTTGACAAAGACGATATGAAAAAAGAAAAAATTGAAGTCGAAGAAATCGAAATCGAAGAAATCGAAATCGAAGAAATTAAACAAGAAGAAATCGAAATTGAAGAAATTAAACAAGAAGAAATTAAACAAGAAGAAATTAGAGAAGAAATGATTTTTCAATATCCTTTTAACAAACAACATGATTCTAACAAATATATACTTCCTGACTATGTAAATGTTAACGAATTGCCGTTGTCACCTTTATCGGAAGCGACAATAAAAGATGAAATCTATGGCTGGGAATAGTTTTCGGTCGACAAGGCTGATGAAAAATAAATGAGAATGGAGCCCATTATTTCATATTTAAAACATGGAATGACAAAAATCAAGAATTATGTACACATGTATAACATTATTAAAAATTGAAAAACTTTTTGTATCATATTAACTAACTGTATTCTGCATGTATAGATCTTTATTAATGTTTAAAAAATAAATGATTCGAAGTGATGTAACTATAAAAAAAGGGGATATTAAACAGCTTGTATCATCACTGACTCTAAGCCAGAGTCTTTTAATCTATATATGATGACAAAAAGGAAAGTATTAAGTATGATTTTATAATCAGAAAAAAATTGTTTTCTTAAAATTGATGATATCTACTTTCAAGTGAATCTCTTAAATTCATTTTTTTAAACATGGCTTCCTAATGGCTTATCATTGTTTTCTTTTCTCTACAAACGCGTAAAAGTGAGTTTTGATTGACGAAACCAATGGTATTAAATTCTCGTTTCAACTAGTTTTTATTTGACCAGTTTCATGTGCATCCTCGCCCTCCAGATAGCTATTTGTATTTATATGCATCAATATTGATTGATTTATCTGATAACTATCATTTGTTTTCAAACATTTCTAGATATATCTTATGATTGGTCTGTAATATCTATTAAATATTGACTGATTATGACGGAAAATACGGTTGTTGAACTTAATCAAGGTGTTGGATGTTATCTACTAAGGTTTATTGATGGAATCGACACGGTTAATTTTATCGAAGCAGTGAACAATAGCCGACAATTTTGGTCAATTGCAAAAACATCCAATCATCATTTTATTGAGATGATTAAAACGTTCTGTGGTCATCACAGAATTCTACTACCACGTGCACTATTTGAAGATTTCACAAATGAATACGAGATCGACGATGAACAACTTATCGTAGTCTCACAGCATTATTCTGATGTCATTGAGCCATCTGAACGTTTATATATTCATCCATGCTTTAGTACTGAAGGTTTTACGAAGTTGTGTGAAGTCTATAAGACTCCTCTTTTCAACTGTTATTCTCGGCTCTTACCATTGAACACCATTTGTTACAATTACAATGCAGATTTTGGACTTCTTGATTATGAGTGGTATGGTTGCACAATTGGGTCGGAACGAATGTTAAATGACTATGAAAAAAATTTGTTTAAAGGTAAACAATAAAGAATAAAAAATATGACATCTATGGGTCGATTAATATCATTCATTTTAGTTAATACGTATTTTAATAAGAATGAAGATCGAAATTGTTGCCCGCAAATGACATTTGTGCATACAATGAACGAATTTAAACAGAATCTGATCACTCGTTTTTCATCAGAGGAATGGCTAGGAGCAATAGACTTCTCAAAATGGGTCATTGTTGGAGGATGTGTATTAAATGCCTTATGTCGATCGCCGTTTCCGGATACCAAACAACAAGACATCAACTTGATGTACTATGTGAAGGATATATTGGATTTTAAGAAATCAATAGATATCACTGTCAATAATCT